AATACAGAGTGCATTACTTACCCACACATGCATCAACATCATTAACACTAAAATTAGGAGGAGTTACTACCAAACCAAGCCCTTCTTTACTGTTAATAAGGATTGGTTTATTAAAACCATATTTGTCAAAATAGTCTGTAGTCAATTCGCTGCCATGTAGGTGAATTATGATTTCTTCAGCAGAGGGGAATGTTCGACTTTGAAGTTCTTTCATAAAAACTGGTGTTCCAGTCTGTACTGGCTGTGAAAAAATAATATGTCAAATGATAGCATTCAATGTAGAATATATGAATAATGAATCTGTCTCAGCTTTAGAGTAACAACCTTTGAACAAACTTATTTGTCATACATTCAAGATTATCACATTTTTTCTTGTATAAAGCCTGTATTCGATGATTTAATATTTTGAGTATACGCTAAATTAATATTATCATGTATGTGCACAATAACGTTGAATAAAAACTATATAGTATATTAATATACGAGTGAAGACACCTCACAGTACCATGCAGTAGACCTGCGGCATGTGCGAAATTGAACGTAAAAAAATGGACAAATAAGCCATGCATGGCACAGTCCCTGTTAGTTATCAAACTTAAGGTATACAGTTTTATTTATATACCAGTAGTAATATTATAGTGCATGCTTATCCATGTGTGCGTTTCTCGATTTATTCATATTTGAAGTCGTTTCATGCTCAGCTGGATTTCACATCACAATATATGCATCTATATTACAAAGAATCACAAATCAATTTACATAAGCCACTCATGTAATGGTCACAAGTACACTATTATCAATACCAACGCAAAAGAAATCGCAGCATTAAGTTGCAACGTATACTTAATAATGATCTCACATGGCAAACCAATCACAGTGTTTCTCTCCAATTTTAAAATCCGAGGTGTCAATCCAATTAACCCTATATAAAGGGTGCTTCAGTGTATGTTTTTGTGTGTGATTGTATCTTGATGCCAGATCTCTATATCAAAATAAATGGTGTACTAATGGTGATCAGAAAAACAAAATGACATGCATCAAGGTCCAATCTATGAACAAGTTTAAGCAAAATCCATCTGTAAACAGCTGAGATCCGAAATGCTAAAAGGTTCAAAGGTTTTTCAGCACAAAAATCGCCACCATTCAGCCATTTTGAATCAGATCGTGAAACATATGTGTATTATGTATGGTGTATGTATGAAGTTTGAATGTAATCGGTCAGGAAATGTCTGAGATATAGATCCGGTCGCACACACAAACGTATGCACAGACTGCATCTGAACAGGGACTAGTAAAGATCGTAGCATCATAATGGTAAAAAAAAATAGCATGGAATTTGACAAATTAGCACGTATTCTGCGGGTATTTCCAAGCTTAATGTGCTATACATAGTTAATGATGGTTGATTTTTTATTAATAAATGATATTTCGATGCCATATTCCCTTCTGAAAGATCAGCATTTCGACACTGAAAATCAAATCGTTTGATTTTGACATTCGGTCCGTGCCTTCGACGCAATACACAAGACTAACAGTGAACGGAAAATCACCTATTAGGCCGTCACTTTCTTTTTCATACATTTCAATATAAAGTATGTCTTCTGCTAATGTAATACACAAAATAAAAGACTGGCCATTATACAGCATATCTTTTGTGTGGTAAACAAGACCTAATTGAAGAAAGCATGTGACCTCAAATAACCTGAGAGAAGCATTAGCTGATCCAACAATACATATTAATTTCACCATCTGCTCTGTAAGGTTTAGAGTATTTGTTATAACATCCAGCAACACCTGTCTTTTTTCCCCAAGTGTATTTCACCTTTTTTACAATTTGCAAAATATACAAATATTTCACAAACCGATAGAGATTACCGAAATTCAAATTTTGAGCTTCAATAAATTAAAAGATGCTACACAATGCAAGGAATAAAGATTATGGTTTTTCAGTCATCTGTAAGCATCAAATGTAATCAGTAATTTTTGTCCTATTTTGTAGAGAGAGTGAAGTTCAGGAAAAACAATGAAAAAAGTTTGTACCTTATTGCCTGCATCTATCTCTGAGTAGTCATGTCTATGCCAATTTCTTCTTGGTTTCACTACAATAAATAAAAAATCAGATACTGTTTAAATTATCCTACGTATATAATGGCAGCTGTATGTGACAAATGCGGTCCATGGAAAAAAAACTGAACTGTTAATCATCATTGGAAAGCAATCTTAAAATATGATATTTAAATCTGCAGGTGGTTTTACACTATATTTTCTTGAAACGTGGATAGAAATTACAATAATGACATAGTAGATATCAAATCTATGACCTTACATTATAAGATAAATATAAATCAGCTTGAGTCATTGTCTATGTAGCATGTACAAAACATAATTACTAGCAGGTGTTGGGTGCCCTTTGAACTGTATCTGCTAGAAGGCTAAGAGTGGGATAAATTACATGCAGATTTCATAATGTTGTTAATTGCCATATGTCTACCTCATTCTGTACAAGAGCATGTTCCAGTTCTACACTGTGAACTTAAATGGGTTGGTCTGCGAGACAACCTAACATGAGTGAATCTATAAGGACTACCAGGGTAATATTAGGAAAATGTAAAACAAAATCTTGAATTGGATCATGACATAGATCAACATGCATTAACAGACTCAGACTATAAGACAATTGTCTATGGCCCTAACTGGACAATTTGAGAAATACATGTAATGCTCTACATATATAAAATGTACGTTTTTGAACATTTTTAGATCAAACATAGCCACAAGTGGCCATTTTGAATATGATTGGGAACATAAATAAAAAATTATGTATCAACTATGTACCAAGTTTTGAGGGGAAAAAATGGTCAATGAACTTCTGCAAAAACGTGACAATTGAAATCCAATCTAGACTAAGTTCAGTCTAGTGTAATACATAGAAATGATGTAAGGGGTATTTTGTGTACTTAATGTTTGATAATTGATATTGAAACAATAAAAATAGTATTTTCAGATGAAAATATTATGAGGAAATCTACTATGTTGTGTAATTATAGTTTGATGATAGCATCAATCCACTATCCATTTAAATGACACTAAAAATAAAACTGAAACACAATATCAATGAATGCACAATTGTTATTATGACAAAGGATTATGAAATGTACACAGACGAAAGCAGACAGCACATGGCATGGTTCATTGACCCTAGTCACTCAACAATAACAAAGTCCAAACAAAGCAAAAACCAGTTTCATAAAGAATTACTGGTAAAATATACCTTTCTTTCATCAAATATGTAATTTTGATAGATTTGATGGTCTGTAATTTTTTTAAATTAATAAAATACAGTTTTGTAAAGGAAATACTGTGGTTAACTAGAATGTTATATTTACTGGGATTCAATTTAAACATTACTAGTAAACAGCAAATATTAAGTGAAAATAAAACCCAGGAAATAATTCAACCATCACATTACACAGACAATGCTTAGGACACAGTATTTCAGGTATAAACAATATATAAATATTATCTATACACAATACAATGTACATCAATTATTTTGTGAAATATTAATTGAAACTACTGTACTACAGGTAGTTGTATTTATTTATATGTAGTGAGCTCTATTATATTATCCAAAATTATAGGGTAGGTAGGGAAGTAGGGGACCCTGCATTTGTGTTCAAATTCAGTATGTCTCAAATGTCAGCATATGAACATGAACTCAAATACCGGTACACAAATATCAAATACTGTAAATTACTTTTTTTTCGCGTAGAATTTATTTTCGCTATTTTCGCTGAAGGGATGATGAAAATAAAATCCAGCGAATATACTTTTTTCCTATATTACACGTTATACTCATCAAAAATCAGTGAAAATAAATTTAATACAAAACGCCCAAAAAGCCTTTTCAGCGAAAATTAATTCCAGCGAAAATAAAGTATTCCATTATCTTTTGAGAGAAAGTTGAGCAATTCAATTTTATATAAAAAAATATATAGTTGGAAGCCTATACAGTCTTACAATTAACATGTGGTTGTTATATCAACTCACTTTTTGGTGGTCCATGTATTCTTGCACAGAGCGGGCAGTGATATTCTTCCACATCTTTAGACTGGTGTTCACTGACACCAACACAGCTGTAATAAAGATCACAAATACTTAATGTCAAACATGCTCACATAATAACATATAAATAATAGATATTATAAATAAATTATGGAAGACCTACAACTAACAAAGTGAATATAATTGCTGTACAAGTCTATATGTACGTAGCAAATAAAACTTCAATCACACTAACCATTTTTCATTATCGAATAATTATTAGATTTTGTTGTCATAAAAGTGCTGTATTTACACTATTAGAAGCTTATCAATAAAAGCACCTACAAATCAATAAATTATAAGTTTACAATAGTAAAACAATAAATTACTCAGCTGCACTCATCCGCCATGCATTGCCTCTACATATTAAAGTATAATATCATAAACAAGAAGTCAACAAGTTGTGTTTAATTGACAAATTCAATTTTCTGTAAATGTTTACACCAAGGGTTCGCATGTCTACACATCCTGGTAAACACAGTTGGAGAATTTGTTGAGTTTCCATATGTGTCTGTTTGACCTTAGAAGAATAAGGTCAAACAAACATTTTTTGTTTCATTTATGTTATAATAATGTATAATATTTTGACATGTCAGCAACCAAGACATCATTTCAACAACTAAGATTGCAAACACATAATACACATTACAAACAAAGTTGATTTAAAAAGACAGGTGCAATTTAAATTGGTATTCAATCATATACAATAAAACAGAAAAAAAACATGAAAATGTATCGATCGATGTGTTGTAGTACACCACATGGGATTTATTATGATTTCAATCTCATTAAGAGAGCTATTGTGTACCTCTAGCTTGTTTAGTTACGAACTAGACCTTGAACTGACGACCATGACTGCGAATTGTAGACACACTTGATCAACATTCAGACGTACGCGAGCATTAAAGAGCTTGATCAGCTGAATGAGAAAAACAAAATAACGAAGCTCTATGACCTTGACACAGATGCCGGCACTTTATTTTGAACTGGATCTTCAGATCACCTTGAGGACTACAATTTTGACAAGATATGGTTAATTGCACGTTACACACTTTTTTCTGTGGCGCGCTACTGTAAATAGTGCCGAAATAGTGGGACAAAGGAAAAAAGTTTTCTCGTTCAAAACACGGGACGCGATGCCTGAAAACCTACGCTGACTCAGTCACTGGCAGAACAAAGTGGCCCGTACTACCAACGACCATAGTTCCACTTCAAATAAATAACATTTTAACAAACTTCGCCAGTAGTTAGAATGTCATATTTACCTTCCATGAAACCAGTCCTTACAAATATCACATTCGATCATAAAGCGTGTAACATCATAAACTTGTCGACAGATGCAGTACACAGGAACAGACGCCATATTGAAAACGCAGCCGAAGGTCGATCATTTCTCGCGAGAGTCTCGAGATACGGACACTCAAATAAAACATTTTGTTATAATGTCACGAGAAATCAAATGTCCGAGAATATCATTGTAGATATGCTAAGTATGCCAAAATACTTTCTAATGTTTACTGGATATCAAAAATAAACTATATTAAAGTTTTTTTTTTTTTCAAATTATCGTTTTATGATATGCTGCTGCCACCGCCACTCGCAATATGTATATTATGTTTTAAATCAATCTTATGAATTGCATGGCGTGTATATTTTTTCATATTTTATATATTATATTTTTAATTAAATTATTTTTTTTTAATTTTTAATGTTACAATATTTTTTATTACATACATCTTATTTTGTATCATGAATATCGCAACATACGCGGGTTTTTGCAATTACAAAAAAAATTAATTATAATATAATATATGTCAAAATAAGTATTTAAAAATAAATACATATTTAGAAAAATTGAACAAACAAAAACAAAAAATGACCAAACTGGGACCCTATTTTAATCAGATTGATTTTAGGCCATACTTATCTGTGATACACAAAAGTTTTTTTATGAGGCGTGAGCATAACATTTACTTGGTGGCGCTGTTTGCAAGCAGACAAATAAGCGATAAGCCAAACACAACTGGGGAAAGGAGTCGTGCATGAATTGTACTGCTATGTTTTGATCGTATTTTTTTTGGTACCCTGACAAGATGGAAGATATATGCAAGCGCCTGGATGAACTCGTTGTACAGTATTTTAGTGCCTTGGAAAAACTTACGGACACAAGAGAGCAGTTACAGACGCTAATGAAAGAGGTAAAGTTACGTTGTGCAGTGGTTGTGCTGTGTACACCGGGTCTGTGCAAGTACAGGTAAAATTAGATCCATCATTTATAACTCGTGGACAATGAAAGTGACAATTAAATGGTCAAATATAAATACCTGTCGAATACTCGAATTGATGTGTAAATAACGGAGGATTTTTTTATAATTATAAACTATTAGTACCGGGGGTATTTAATAAAAGATTGATGAGATAAGGGTATGGGAACTATCAGTACAGTGATAGCCATGATGATCTCACGAGAAGCGAACTCTAGTCTCGTGCTTTGTGGGCGTTTAAGCCTAAGATGGCTTAATACAGTTGCACTATTTGATTTGATTTTTTTTTTATATTTTGCAAATAAATTGCTTATTGCTATCCAAGGTCATATGTGAAAACAAATTTGGTGGCACAGACCTAATTTGTTGTAGATGAACGTGATATTTAAATTTCAGTTTAAAAAACATTGGAAAAAAAAAGTAAAACACACCCATAGAAACAAAATTTGCAATTTTTTTAAAACTCAAGATAATGAAACAATGTCTCTAAAACTACAATGTGAAAAAATGGAGGATGTGTGTTACAGTCCTATTTGTAAAGACATGTCAGTTTCAGTAATTGTCCCTATGCGCATGAGCAATATACGTGTTCTCAGGTGAAAGCACCCAGGTGGCCACTTCAAACCCACCACGTTTAAGAAACTGTATTGAGCAACCTTAAAGGGCGATGGTCGTCAAATTTCATATAAACAAACACTGTATTTTACAAGCGGTGTATACGTCGCTATGAGCCCCATATGATATGAAACGCGATGCGATGCGATTACCACCACCCTTTAAAGGCAATCCCATTTTGTGCATCAAACATAATTCTTACCAGTAGTGTCACAGAATGCAATGTGTTTTGTGATCACCCGATGAAAAAACTATCTATACTGACAAACTACAGCAAAACCCAGAGAACTGCATCTACAAAAAAAAAATGTATGCAGTACAATGTATATTTAAAGATGCTGTATACCTATTTGATACACACAATTTTATATACCCATGAGCATTTTTTTTATAGAAATTATATTGTTACTTTGGTGTACTGTAAAATACTTTATTTTCGTTTCGAATTAATTTTCACTATTTTCGCTGAAGGAATAATTCAGTGAAAATAATATCAAGCGAATATTCTTTTTTTTCCTATATTTCACATTTAACTCGTTAAAAATCAGTGAAAATAAAATCCATACAAAACACCCAGAAAGTCATTTCAGCAAAAATTAATTCCAGCTAAAATAAAGTATTTCACAGTACTTAATACCACACAAGAACAGTTCTATTTGGGATGTATTTCCAATACACAAATACCCTCCAGTACATATTGCTATCAGCATTAGTCAATTATATTGTTTGATGATGATCAGTATTGCCAACTCCAGCCATGTTGGTTATAGATTTCACAGCAATAAATAAAAGTTTCCCAAATATCGCATTGTTTAGATATACGGTAATACATGGGATTCCATTTTACTTTCTATTTGCACTGAACATTACTAAAGCGTTAATTTTGTCTTATAGGGATATTTCAGATTATCTAAGGCCAGGTACTCCATGGGGAATAAAGCAGTTAGTTCGTTACAATATGATGCAAACAAGATGAAAGCACTAGCAACTATTACTGTAAGGTATACATCGATTTGTTTTTCATTTTGTTTATATTTGATCACTTGATGACCAGTTCAAAAAATAAAATAAAAAACGCCATTTTGTTTTACAAGTATTCTACCTGTTTCTTGAATTCATACAATGGGTTGCCCGTCGTTTCAGTTATTTTTGAATTTCATTGGAATATAACTGATTTGTTATTAACTGTTTCATAGGTGTGCCTGGTCTGGTATCTTTTCACCACCAGTTCCATCTTTTCACCACAAAATAGTATAGTTTATAGTCACTTTCCTTCAGAAGATTGGGACAAAAAAAAAAGACAAATTTTTTGAGTAAAAACCTAAAATTGACGCAATTGTTGTCTGTTGGCTTCAAAATTAGGATTCATTTCCAGAAAAATTGAAGAATATAAGACAAAAGTGCAGAAAAAAATTTGGCGACTAAGTCTGGTAGTGAAACGATTTTGATTCAAAATGGCCGCCATGTTGTCCTGTACAATACCAATAAATTTCCACTATAATTTCTTTCACACTTAACCCATCATTTTTCTTTGAGATATCTGGCATTTGAGAATCTACCAATGAGGACTGTCTCATTTTTAATGTTTATTATATTCATTTGTACAGCCAAGATGATGACATTCCACGATTTGAAGTAGTGCGAAAGAAAGCTGCCACGACCAGACGCAAATCATCTACCTCTGAAGATGAACACCGTTCAAACATCGGTACTTCTGAAGGTGACTACTATTTTTCACATTGTTTAGCAAAAGGTTGTGCAATGAAGATACCTCATATAGAATATGATGCAGCGCGATGACCTCTATCCTTTAAATACATTTATCAGCACAAGGAAGGATATACTGTAAATTGTTTAATTTTTGGGAGCGCGACAGAATTTCACATTCACTCTTGTCTTCAAGACCTCAGTGGAATTTTTATTGTTATATTTTATGATTTTTACATTATTGCTTTATAATAATTAATTAATATATGCAATCAAAATTCTTATTAAATGTTTCCAATATACCAAAGGTAAAGTTTAAAACAGCCCCCTCAACTGGTCAAATTTATCATACTAGTTGACTCTGCTTGCAAAGCACACAATATAGGAGTCTTTGCAGTAAGTGTGACTGTGTGTATATATGTCTGCTCTACCATTATCTCATTATCATTGCATTTCAATGAAACTTGATATATAGATGCCCTGGAACAATGCACATACCTGATTATCTTTTGGTTGAAATCCGTGAATATTAATTACCTAATTTGTATAATAATTATTCAATTTCCAGCTTTTCTAATGATATTTCAAAAATAATAATTACTTAATAATTAGCTAATTTTTAGCCTTTTCACCAATATCTCAAAAACCACTCATCAGATTTCATTGAAACTTGGTACAGAGGTGCTCTGGGATAAGTCATACACATTTGTATTTAGTTTAGCGTTAAATTTTGTGCTTATAAGTTAACCAATTTTTAGGTGATCCAAAGATACCAATCTCATTTCAATGAAACTTGGTCCATGGTGCTTTTATAAAATCCACAGAACTGATTTGGGTTGACTTTGTATAAATGGGGTGAGCTCATTATCATGCACAACTAATAACTTAAATAATATGTATCCTGTGCAATATAGATTACCATATAGTCATGTGACTTCATTAATATTAATAACTAATAATCATAGTCATGTGACCTAATATATCTGGCATCGGACAAGAATTATGACTATATATATTGTAATGTGACCTCATTAACATGCATAACTGTAATATATTTTAAGTACTGTTACAGACATGCATCCAGTACTTTGTGTTTTCAGATATGATATACAACTAAAATATCAAGTTGTCATATACGATTATGGTGTTATTAATCACTGCTTGCAGTTGCATTTTGAAATGCCGTATTTGCTTCTATGACATTTGATCTGTATTGCAGTAAGGAAACGGAAAGGAGGAGATGAAGTATCAGCAATAAAGTTAAAAGATATGACCTTAGATGATGATGAAGAAACCATTGCTGATCCACTTCGATGGTTTGGGGTGCTAGTACCAGGCACACTAAGACAAGGTCAAATGAGTTTCATTGGAGGTAAATGTCACAAATAGTGCACCATGTGATGAAGACCTATCTACATGGTTAAAGGGGAACCGATACTATAAATAGGGGCAAGATGGCCACTGCAATTAGTATGCGAATCCAAACCAAGCCGATCAAATCATGGCGGGAGCTCCGGGAAATGTGCCATTTACGATGTTTAGAGATCAAGCTGTGATTCCAAATACATTCTACGGGGGCATGAATATGTACGCTAGTGATTACACTCTTCTGGTTGGGCTTTTAATGTATAAATGTTGTTTTCGGTCGAAACATGTCGCAACAAAAATCCTGAGTTTAAAATGGCGGCTAATATATGCAAAATGCCTGTCAATCACAGTTTGAGTAAGCGAGCATAATAAGCATTCATTTACTTAGTGGGTAAAGGCGGAGTTAATTACCCATGAGCACGTGGTGCAAACCATGGGATTGAGCGGTTTCTCTTTAACACAATGTCATTGAATACAGAGATAATTTGTGTTGTATTCACCAGTGAGGGCGCTGCATTAAAAAGAAGTCTGAGACATTGACAGTACCTATAATTCACCAACAAGTAATGTTCACATAAATTTGTTTTATCTTTCAGCTGTTGAAGTATCAGTAGAGCTGGTTAATTTACAAAGTGAACTACTAACTATACAACTTAAATACAAAGAGTTACTCATGAAGAAAAGGGAACTCATGAAAAAGGGAGAAGCTGTAGAGAACACTAATAGTGTAGATCAAGATGTGAAGTAAACAGATTATCCTGGATAATCTTAAACACTGGAAATAACTACCAAGATTAATATAGCATATATTAAATATTATATAACAATCACGAAAAGACACTAAGCTAATTTGAAGCAAATGCTGATATTTATACAACAATCTTGCTTGTGAGATACAACTCAAAGTATTATAAAAGCAAGTGAATAAAAGACTTGAATAAATGTATGTATGTTTTTTTATTAATAAACTTGTTCTGCACAGATGAATGTACAGCACTAATGGCCATGAAATCAGTTACAAAAACATTGAATATTAAAAACAAGCAGTTCTACTTGACTAAAACATGTATGTATACTGGAACAGCTGCATCTTATGTGTCATGTGATCATAGAAAATAAAATTCTTGGAGAAAGTCTCCAAAAAAAGGTACTGTAATCAGAGCAAAATAAATGTATGGCTGCACTTCTCTAACTTGAAGAAATAAAAAACTATTTTAATGTATTTTGTTAGTCCATATGAATGAGTGTGGATCAGGTTGAAAGTGTTTTACGGCAGATCTGTATCAAAAAGTAAAAATACATTTACATATCACTATAGTATCAAATGATAAAAAAAAAATTGTCTTCTAGAAGAAATGTACTTGATATCCTAAATCGACATGAAAAGTCGGTTAAGATCATTTATACATTACAAAGATGGTATATTTAAAGCACCAGTGATATAAATCAAGTAGACCATATAAAGGCTAAAAATGGGTCTAAATACACTACATTACTGAGAGTACCAATAGGTCATACTACCAGAATTCTGTCTTATGAGAAGACCCCCTTCAAATGTTAATAACATTGTTTATTTACACAATGATTAGAATCTTCCTTCCCCACTTGATTCTAAATACGAGCGCCACTACTGGCCCATCTCTACCCAATGATGACTGTAAGCTACAACATGTAGTAACCAAAATATACGCCCGCTTAAACAATCACAAAAATACACAGTAACAGGACTATAAATACTACATAACTGTAAAATAACAAAAATAGCTATAAATATATATATGTGGTAAAAAGTTCATCAAATTGATAAAAAAAATAATAGTTAAAAGGTTAAAATAGTAAAACTCTTACAAAATCCCTGAAAAAAGAAATAGTCATTGGTATTATTTAATTCAATTCATGCATAGGCTGAAGCGTTTCTATCAATTAAAGTAATGTTTTAATCTACCTTATTTGCTGTATTAGAAGCGAATCTTTGATAGAAATACACAAGATCTAATTTATTGTAGGACGGTCAGTGCAGAAAACTCACTGCCATGTTAATGCTAACTGTTAAATGGTTTGTTGTGTATACTTTTCCTCCAATCTTACTGCACTTCAATCTGTTACCACTCAATAAGTGCCACAATTTGTACCTAAACTGGCCAAAACAAAGGTACCTAAACAACTTTTTCGCATAAGAACTGTGATGGTAAAGCGAAGAAAAGCGTTTGAAACAGATATCACTACAAATCACTAAACATGGAGAACGACAGCAAACGCATCCAAAATGTTTGATTCTCAATATAGCATTATCCAAAATTTCAAACTTGATTCATTTTATGCCTTGATAATAAGCCTGCAAATGATTAGTGTATGTCCTATATATAAATAAGCTACAATGTTTTCGTGTATAAATCACTAAAAAAATCCTACAAAATACCATTTTTAGTTTGGCTCTTGTCTATGTTATTTACTTGAGAGGGGGAGTCAATAAACATAATTATATAATTCAAATTTGGTAAAGCCAAGCCCCTTCTCGAATAAATAAATTCACTTTTTTGATTGAACAAGGCAGCTAAATCCAATACTTGATAACAGGAGTGAATTTCAAAGCAATCCTATGTCAAATATTTATGCATTTTGAAAATTCATTTCAGCCATTCTTTCTTCTGCCTGGTATGATATATATATACTACATCATTGCTACCAGTATGTTATCTTGCATTATGTACCAGGTTGGCAAGTTCTGTAAAACTGGGCTTTTCGCTCAATATCAGCAAGTAATTTGGACATTTCATCATTCAAATCACCAAGTTCATCCGCAAGATTTCCCAACCTGTCTTCATTGTTATCAAAATCACCTTTAATATCTGTAAGAGATAAAAAAAATAAGGTTACTGATGATTGAGGGGGTGAGTAGAATCGTATGGTACAATTCTAAAAAAGATTGTTTGAGAGATCATTACAAAGGTACTTTGTAAATATGTGAAAATGAAATCATGATCTATTATTAAACTTGACAAACATTTATCTGAATTAACAATAATACCATCCAATTCCTGTAACTTGTCTCGTGTTTCACTTTCCAAAGCTGTGGCATCATCTTTCAGTTTCTCAGCTCGTTCAAGTGCATCGTTACTCTCACTAATCTTATCATCAATTTCTTTTGCTGCATCCGTGTATTTATTCTGTAGATTATCAGCATCCTGCATCAAAGATGAGAGTAATTTTTTTTAAATTTAATTTCAAAAATTTGTCTGCTGACGTTGGTTTTCCTTATTTATCCATTGAGGCTTTCATCAGGTAATGTGTAAATGTTCTTTGTTGTAAAAATAAAATAAAATTTTGCATGAGTGCAATCTCCTTTGGTTTGAAGGTGGTGGCCATATTTGATTTAACTTGAAACAATACTGTGGTCAAATTTTTTGAGCCATTGTGCATAAAGTTGCTCATGAAAATTTAGTGGAGTACTGGGCTTCAAATAACTAACATCAGTTTAGCTCAATGAAAGTTTTGAATTAGTGATCAGATCAAATTTTAACAATTTTCCATGGGAATTCTATCAATGGTCTTGTGCCACATGCAAGATGTAATCTTACAGAAAAAAAAATATCAATTGGTTTACTGATGTAAATGGTTTTTCACTTTAATATACAAAAACAGAAAACTTACATCCTGGGCATCATCAGCTAGTTCATCTGCTTGCTTTGCAGCTTCCGCAGCATTGTCAATATTTATTTCATTATCTGTAAACTTTCTCTTCACATCGTCTAACTGATCATCCATATCTTCAACTTTATTTAAAGAATCGCGTGCTTTTTCTAATGCAGCACTTGTTTCTGACTCAATCTACAGGATCAAAGTTACATTAGGAGATGGCAATGCGTACTCATAAATGAAAATACCCAGAATATATTGTACACTATGTAAGGATACTGATGTGAAAAAAGCCAGCCTTATTTTTCGAGAAAATGATGGTTGTATTTTAGTGGATAGTTGCACTATAACGCTTTTACCATAAGTTCCTATGGCAGAGATATTATGCAATGTCTCATCAACAAAAAATAGTGTTAATGATGGGGTACCTTGCATGTCTTGAATTATTTTTGTGTTCTATGGAATTGTTCTAAAATAGCGATTTTTGAAAAGTTTCTCAAAAACCGCAATCATAACACACAAAATAATGCTATTTCATTGTGCCTTGGCATTAGTTTCATGACTGTACATAATAAACCAACGAACATTGTTATGTGGATCATGACAGATGTTTGCCAGGGACAACCACTGACGGATAACTTCCCCCTCATATGGGAGCAATTAACGATGCAGTGAATAGAGTAAATTTATTATCCTAGCTGTTAATTAGTAGTTTACCTGTAAGAGTGCTTCCTCAGCTGCTTTGATATCATCATCCGCTTTATCTATGGCATCTTCAGCTACTTGTTGTGCTTTGTCAGCATCGTCCAATGCTTCAACTACATTACGTGCCTTATCAAGTACACCATCAGCAAAATCCCTGCAGATAAAATGATTTTATATAATGTCAAATTTGCCATAACAATAACATTGTATTAGGTTGGGTTATGTCAATATATTCATAATCCCTGCATGTGCCTACATGGGAATACACTCTAATAGTCGAAGGATAACAAATGAAGTCATCCTTTAGTACAGGTATTATTTCCAGTTCCAGCTGGTGAACTGAATTAAATGTTTTGAACTGCTAAACAACTTGACTTAGCATACAACATGTATGTGTCTAATGTCTAGATGTGCCAAATTAATATGTACAAGAAGCAATATCAACAACACAATTGTCTGTACAAACATACGTTATGCATTCAAGATATAAGTTGAATGGAGCCAAAAACACAACTGTCTATGTGACATAATTAGACGGTGTGGCTTTGAGAAATAAGCAGAATTGGTCCAACAAAATGGCTGTCAGTTGGCCATCTTGGATTGGATAGTGACATAAATCAACACAATTCATAAAGCTTGGTGGACTGTATCCAGAAAGGGGTTACAATAACATTGCAGAACAGAAACTAGAACTGAATTCCATGTCAAGAGAAAAGTTATACTTGTGACTAACACATTACTTACTTTGTTTTCTCTGCATCTTCTTTTAATTTTTTAGCTCTGTCTAAATCATCTTTAGTAGCATCTAAGATGTCATCCACATTCTCCAAATTCTGAATAGTTTCATTGATTTCTTTGGCAAGTTCTAATATAGTGAAAAATTACATTTTCAGTATATATAATACTGCCAGATATTGAATTCACCCATTGTAAATAACATTTCCCTTGTTGTAAAACTGATTGATTTTAACAATGAAATCAAGTAATGAATGAAGGAATGATAAAATAGAGAAAAATACAGGAAAAATATCCCGTGGTCAAGCATATTGGATTGAATCACAGTTAACAAAAGTTTAACTCCCATGCCAGAAAATTATTCTTTTGTACAAAGTAATTGTACACTGGTCCACATGAAGGAAACACTTTCTCATAATAATGCAAACATTGCACTCAGATTGATAAATCTATGAAAATGTGACCAAAACCAACATAACATAGAATATACAATAGCTAATAAAAGATGCAATACTCAAAACTCTTATTCAGCCGAACATTACAAGAACAAAATCTGTAATATGCTTACCTCTGATCTCATCTGGGGTGAGGGAAATTTTCATAGCCAATACCTTTTCTGCTATACGTCTGATATCAGAGGGTTTGGCACCTTCTGAATGCAGGAAATCAGTTATTGCATCAAGTAAATCAGTCAAATTAGTCTGGGCACCTTCAGCTTCTGTCTTAGCCTGTAATGCTGCATCATATGCCATCTGAGCTTTGTCTTTGGCATCATTTGCATCATCTTCTGCCATCTGGACCTAGATTTAAAATGAACACTTGTAATGACTCCCATTCTATTGCTATTCTACATGCTTATGTGAATTTTATTTTAGTTAGTCAACGAAAATAGCATTACAAATCTGGAAAATATTTAATGTGTTTACAGTATGTGTTAAAGAGGCATTTACAGTTAAGCCTAATCTCACAACAAATTTACTTTCTGGATAGATTAACTTTGTAAATAACATAAACAATAGTGTCCCATGATTCTTTGGTGCAATCCCTGGACTCTGAAGGTTCCCCTACAATCATATGTATAAGAGATTCCAGTTCTTACTTCATCTAACATATCATTTGCTTCTTTCTCTTTCTCTCTAAGTTTGTCATCTGCATCCTGTGCTCTGGTGAGTGCTTGTTCTGCCACCGGAACTGCACCAGCGCATCCCAATCCACCACATTCTCCACAACCAGCACCACCGCATGTACTACACTCATCACCTGGTGCGCCGCATACCTACAAAAACAAAACAAAATAATTACATGTTGTAATTCAAAATTCACTATACAAGTCAAACAATTTAAGTAAATTGAATTAGTAAAACAAAATAACATACCATCTCATTGACATCTTTCAGTTTAGCTTCTAAGCCAGCTAACTGGTTATCAAGATCATTCAAGGCATCTTCATTGTCTTTTTGATTTTGATCCAATTCATCTTGCCTATCTTTTATCAATTTATTCAGCTCATCTCGGATTTCTTCTGACTCCTCAATAATTGGTTCTGTGGCGTCTACTTTATCTTGGGCCATTTGGGATTTATTCTGACTTTCTTTGATACTATTAAAAGCTCCTATTGTTAACAAGTTTATTGCAATGTTAACATCACTGAGTTTATAAACTAAAATTAACGATATACATAAACTAATAACACTGCCAAAGATAATGCCTAAAATATGTTAATGCAATAACAGGAGGTCGGGACAACATGTACAACTTACCTTCTACGTCAGAGAGACTGATATCAGTCACATTATCTTCTAGATCTTTGGCTTTTTTGGCTAAATTACCAGCAGCTTTTTCTAATCTATCCAGTTCATCATCAGCATCTAATTTTCTGTCCTCTATTTTTGGTAGATCATCTTCAATTTCATCAAGTTGTTTCTCATATCCAGTCAATCCATCACTGCATAGAAATAGTAGTGGTCAAACATCACAATGTGTAAATGTGAAAGAATGGCATTCTAACTTAAGTAACCAAGTCCAATAAGTCAATAAGATAATAAATTAAACAACAACAACATGACTACAATATTTCAGATTCCTTATACCCATTACGGTTATGTTTTCTGTAATATTGTATTACAATAACTTTACTAATCATTTTTTTTTTATGGATATTAAACTCCAACAAGAACAGTAATATGCCCACTAACTTCGCTGGTATAAAGACATACCGAATATCTGCTAAGTCTTTCTGTAGGTCTTCCACTTCAGCTTCAGTAACATTAGGAGCAACAAGAAGCTTCTTGATCTTGTCTAGTTTATCTTCCATTTCTTGGAATTCATCATCATATGCACCAGGTGCACCAGTATGTTTGATGTTCTGAGCACGGTCAATTTCATAATCAGTCTGATCTATAGATTAAGCATTGATGTATCAAAATTTGAAAATATAAAATATAAAAGTTTAATTGATTTGAAACCTTTTATTGTTTATTTTGCATACAATTGAACACTTTTAACGTTTTCTGCAGTTTTCTCAAGTAATATCATTGTTAATTGTGAGACAAAAGAAATAAAAGCAACACAACTTGTGAAATCAAGGATGGTTGGACCAGTTAGAGGAATACACAGGATTGATTTATTACACACAACTATATGTGCAGCCATCATACCATAGCTCCTGTGTTGAATACAATACAAGGGTCAAATACCGGAGTCATATGCATATTCTACATCCTCCCTTTCTAGATAAGTCAAAATTCACACCATTGTGAATTTAAAATCGTTCAAGTTCAGTTCATATTTGTTGATGCATGTTCAACCCAACTTACTTTTCAAATCCTGTATAATATCATCCCAGTCATCGAAGCATTCACCACATGGTTCACAGTTTGGTAGATCACCTGAAGTACCTCTATCACAGCGATCACATTTATCACCAGTAACGCCTTCTTTGCATAGACATACACCAGTATCTCTATCACACTGTAGGGACTCAGAACCATCAGGATCACAGTTACATGCTAAAAAAAGAACACAGTTAATCAGTACATTTTACTATTCCTGGCATATTCCTAGTATAGTTTTTAGCACTATGATAAAGTTGTATTGTCTCCTATTGGTTATATGATATTATATTTATTATCAATGAGTTTATATTAGTGTGTATTTAAAGTTGAAAATTTATAAGACAGTTAAACTGATAATTCCAGTGTTTCTCGACCAAACAAAAAATATGCTAGCATAGAGTTATGCTTTTGAAGTCACGACGCATCCTGCGCATCCCTTCCCTAATGCCCCAAATTTGACTGTCCTGTCATAAAACCTTGATTTTAGACATTGTTCGACTTTTCCGAATATCGATAATCAATACAGCATGACTATTGACTGCCATGAATGCCACGGTGTGCATGTGTGAACTATGCCACGACTTGACCTCTTAATGACCATGAAAGGTGTCTTCCCACACCTCCCACAAAAAATTGCGAATCACTTTAAAAAATTATTTTGTTTTTTCGCCAAAATCAGTTCCAATAGATAGTACTTTGACATAATTCACTTGTGGATCGCGTTACAAGAATGCCATCAGGGATTCACAGAAAATTGCATCCGTACAAGTTACAGAGGTTAATAACTATCAGGTCAAAGGCATTGTGCATAATTTGTATCCAGAATTAGCATATGATCAAACCCATAATTGTTGAGATCATTTTGTTTCTTCAAAACTTTTATTCTGTCCTAAGAAAAGTAATGTTCCTCTCATATGGCACACAGTGGTGCTCGACTAAGCACCCACCCTCCTACAAAAACATTTTTTTGCAGTCGAATACCCTTGGTGCCAAGTCAGACGAGAATGGATACAATACAATTGATTAGCAGCAATTAAAGTGCCTATGCAATGCCCACCCTCACGTTGCCCATTTTAGATCTGTGCCTAACTGAAATGGGCAGTTATTGATTTTTTTTTGCCGAAAATGATTACTCGTATCCAAGTAAATTTGGGATATTTCTCATGTTGTAGCCACGCCCACCTATCCTGAAACGGTCGACTGTTTCCGGATTTCCGACTCTCGCCGAAAGTGCGCCAGCAAATGCCAAAATGTGAAAGGAAGTCATACCCCTGAGCCGTAATAACACTGGTCATTCAGTATACTTTTAAACGATATACATTTTTCGGTCGGCGTTTTTTGTTTCTTTTTTTTTTTTTGTCTATTTTATTTTTTTGAGAGAAATAGATTCCGGATCATGATCACCGAAGGCGGATTTCAGAAGCGTCGGACAAACAGGAAATTACACAGCCCTACAAACTG